GTGATATTGTTATATTTGTATACTCCTAAGTGCTCTCGTTCTTATTTATCCCGCTAACATAACAAGAACACTTACTAAATATAAAGAGATTTTCCATATTTTTACGAACAAGTAAATCCAATTAGGAATTTATCAAAGGAATCAAAAGTTAAAACGATAAAGGCAAGCTTTTAACGATAAATAAAATGTTATAATGAAATGAATATTAACGTTTTACTGTATTATTAAAGTTTTCTATTAAAGGAACAATATGCTGTAGTACAATTTATTTATTTTTTATTAGTTTTATTGCTATAGATTGTTGTTGGCCGTAGAAGCGTTTTCTACTACAGGATTCTGTTCGGTTTTTGCCTTTATTTTTCTGTAATAGCACAGTGTCAAATTTTACCAAAGATGGATACTTAAGAAAATTACATCGGATTGTTAAAACTTTACGTTCGGTTTCTAACCTTTTTAGAGAAAACATCAAATGAGGAGTGTCAGACTCATACTGTTTAAAATCACAGGACTGCTCTAGCTTGACGCTACCTTATTGCGCTATGGTATGGTTGTGTTAAACGCGTTGCAGAATGGAGACTACGTCTAGGCAAACATGACTAGAGTGTCTGGCAGTGGTTGGACGAGATAAGGGGACCATCGAGCTCAGTGGAGTGCAAGTCGGGAGGCCTATCTCCAGCAGTGAACGACAATAGGCTGATGATGCACGCTCGGGTCTGGTTCTAGTCGGGCGACGAGCAAACTTTGCTTGCCGTCCATTTCCAACGCCTGGAGTGTGTGATCTTATTTCGGCGGCTGGGGCATAAAAGCAGGATAATTCCCGTGTATTGCTTCCTATTAATTTCAAACTTGATATCCATTTTTGGGAGTTGCTATTACGACCAAGACTGAACTATTTAATATTAATAAAATACTTCCACAATCGTATTTTATAATTAGAGAACTTACACATATTTTTCTTACTTATAAATTATAGCTTTTCACCCAGGTTTGTCGATAAAATGTAGATCTGTACACAACATCTTCAAGGGCGCGGTTACCGACACTCCTCCGTCACAACATCACGGGATTGAAAAGTTCTGACAAGAAAATCCAATTACCTAGAAAGATAGATACTTTTGTCGCTATGAATACAAAGACTGCTAGACTAGCTACTGGCTTGTTACTTTACCACTTTACTGCTGTTCTCAAAGGTTTTGAATATTTAATTTTATATAAAATATTTTTAGTAAAGATTTTTTTCTAATATGTTAGTAAGTATTGGTTTAATTTCACCATTAAAAGATTCTGATTACGACTGATTGTTTTAAGAAAAAATGAAACTGATATTTATACATTCAAGATTATATCTTAAAATTATATTTATATGCATACATTTACGACTACACTTGGTTTTTATAAAATTCGTCCTTTATATTTTTTTGGAAAAAGTAGACCTTTTGGTGTAAATAATAATGAAATTATTATTTTTGTAAATGGAAAACCTGCAGAACTTTTATAAGTAATCTATATTTTCATTTTTTTTTTGGCTAAAGAAATAAAAGAATGCTCAGTCACTTTTACGTGTTCTTTGGCGTTGAAAAACACATTGAATATATTGCGAACTGCAACTAGTTTAACTTTTTATATCAAGTGCGTTTAGCCACTATCTCGCCAGTTGGTTATGACCAATATATTTACTTAAAGTAACTTATGGTGTAGATCGAGAGGAACTGGGAAGCCGCGTCTTTCTTCTGCAAAATAGTGATGCTCGAGAAGAAGTAAGGGAACTATCCTTCTCACTCTCCAGCCACTGCAGAAGGCGACACTCCGAACATCGAGGATCAAGGAGGAGGAACTCCAGCTACCGCGAAGGCGGTTCTGTGGACGGTAAGCAAAGATAGCTCGCTGCCCAACCAGAACCAGACCCGTTACCCGCGTATGTAAGAGCCAATAGACCACCACAGATGTGGTTCAACCAGGCTGATGTTTATCTAGGATTACCATGGCCTATAGCAGGAGAAGGGACGGGTTGGTTTTCAGTCAATAAGAGTCTGAAACTCCCTCACACCTCACCTTGGGCAAGAGAAGTCGTTCGATGGTTTTTCCATCATAAAAAAAGACTAAGACACTTAAGTTGCATCATCATCGTCATCATCAGGCGGAAAACGTCCACTGCTAGATAAGGGCCTCCCCTTAGTCTTCCACGCTGAACGACCACTTGCCATCTGTATCTATTGGAACCCCGTGACTCTGTACATGTCGCCGGTCCTTTTCGCGTCCCGACAAGGAAACTAGAAGTGACACGTTTCGAAAGCAAATCGGTGGATTATTTTTTAAAGAAGGGTAGCTCATTTCATTTTATTGGTGGTGAAACGAAATACAGAAAAATAAGTTATGCCATTCCCACGTGAAAGATTGAAAGAATTGATGGCCATGGTAGCTGATGACCTAGTGACTCGGCGACTCGATTAAACGTTGTAAATATGTGAAGGTAACATCGTGTTTGTATGTCAGTGTGTTAGTAACGTCTTCTCAGTTTGTGTCCGTTTTATGGGGCTAGTGTTCGAGTTTATAGGATGACCTAGATCCAGGTGGACGTATCAGGCCAATCAGCAAACTATATATGGTGATCTGATGGTTAAAGCGCAAGAATACTTGGCAAGTACTTATGTGACTTACTGAGTTTTATGTATTTTCAAAGTTTAAAAACCACTGACATACGGTGACAGATTCCAGAAAAGATTTCAAATATGATAAGGTTGAAATTGTTAATCCGCTTTGAGCAAGAGTTTAGTGCCCACTAATCTGAGGAGTTAGGAGTGCTTTGTCGACCTTTTGGGTACTTAGGGTTTTGGATCTTAAGGATTGGGGGAGAATCGAGCGTCTGGTAACCTCACTGATAGGGCAAAACAGCACTGAGGTAAATTGCTTACTATAATAACTCATCAAAACTGATCTGTGCCATTACTTAGTTTTACGTTTCAAATTTGTTTATGATTATTTTCCTTTTCAGAATAGTTACATTTGTATTGTCAGATTGCAATGATTACATGATAAAAACGTGCCTTTTATGTGAGGGGAAAATCATCAAATGCCTTCTCCTGCCCAGGGCCGGGCGAGAGGGAGTTTCAGACTCTTACTGACTAAAAACCCCTGTTCCTTCTCCTGCTCTGGGCCGAGGTCGCGGTGCCTCATTGCGCTTACCCCGCAACCCCGGCTGTGTGTGGCCATGGTATCACTCCAATTGAGCCGACCCATTCTGTATATCAATACAATGTAAATTTTTGAACTCAATTTCTTCATGTATTGTGTTTTTGATTCGAATGGTTTCTGTGTGTGAATCTTGGCAGAACACCATAAATGTTCTACAACGGTTATTCCCTTAAGATTTACCTAATATTATGTTAACATACTTACCTATACAAATATACATGAGTATTAACTCTTTATTTGCCAACAGTTCCTATGTAAACATAATATGAAACAACAATTCCAAAGAGCTATAAGTTCACGGGAAAGGCGTTGAATCTCCTGACTTAACAATATATATTGAAGGTATATTTTACGATGTCATTAAAACGAGTTAGAAACGGAACGATATCGATGCGGGTGACAATAATATATGAAATATCCTTACTCCATTGTTCGGGAACAAAACTATACTTACACTGTTATTTGAAAATTGACTTTAATGTGACGACGGTTAAGTGTATTATTCCTTATTCTATCAAATTGTTAGAAAATTCAATATATACTATTGACCCTTTGGTTTTAGAACTCTAATGCCCGGTTTTCGAAAGCCCGATCAATATTAAAATCAACTAACTAGGTGTCAAATCTCTTGTCAAGTCATCTGATTGGTTGTTGATTATTCAGTCAACCAATCAGATGACTTGACAAGAGATTAAATTGATTGTAACATTGATCGGCATTTCGGAAACCGGGTGTTAATATTTAGTTTGAACTGGTTTCAGAGTTAGCTTATTTGAACAAAATTGCATATAAAACGGTTCATAAAGCTAATCGTTACCGTTTAAATAATTACCCAGACATTGGCGTCGTTTCGGACTTTTATTTTCATCATAATACGAGTAAGTTGTGATTTTAAAAACATGATATAGAAGTATTTAAAGATCAATTGGTACCAATCACATAAAGATAAAAAATATTAAAAAAATATGCTTTCAGGACACACTTTATTATAATATCTATGTATATAACTCGCTTAAATTATGTTTTAAAATATTTTTACCAATTTTGCAGTGCAAGCGAAAATGAATATTTTATTCTATAATATTCTCTTTGTTATTTTATTAGTAGGTATAAATTTATCAGGTACAAAATATCCTTCTAATAATTTTATGATCAAAATAAATTATAAAAATAAAATCAATGAATGCGTTGCTAAGCGTGAAATTTGAGAAAGGTTGACTAATAATATGGGCTTTTTGTTGCTAAATAAACTCTAAAATGAACAGAAATTAATCTAAAAGGTATTGAGTATACATATATTATGTTCTAGCTATTCTTGCGCGGTTTCACCCGCTGCTCGGCTCCATTTAATCGTATTGGATGTTTTATAGCCTATAGCACTTAGGAACATTGTAGCTATCTAAGTGGAAGATCTATCTAAGCTATAAGTGGAAGAATTTTGGAAATCCGACCAGCGGTTTCAAAGATAACCCCCTACATACAAACTTACAAAGGACATGGCCAAAAAAGTACATTCCACGTACACAAACAAAATTAATACACTGTAAAATAAAAATAGAAATATGAATTATTACGTAGTTTTTAGCCTCTCCAGACTTGACAATTATTATTAAAAAATATATAAGTAATGTATGTGAATTCAACACTCGTACGTAAACACTCGTAGAAAACGTGTGATATGATCGACAAATGCATTACACTAGGAACATTTTATTAATACGAAACTGTATTCATTGGTTCTAGTTGCATTTTATAAAATACTCGTATTATAATAATATTATGTTTTAATTTTTATTCAATCACCGAAAACAAAAAATTAAACGAAACGGAACGCGTTTGACACTTTTGACAGCGTGTTTCTATTAACCTTGCTAATAATACTGGAGTACCGGACTGTTTTGCGTTTTGGATTTGTTTTGTGGATTACGATGAGGTGCATCAAATGCGGAATAGCCATACAAAGGCTGCAGAGGCGTCTTATATTCTGGCTTTCTGCACACCATCCAACAATACTTTCGCGTTGGTTAACCAATGCTCAAATCCAGGTATGAAGTCGGAATAGTATAATACTTAGTCTGTTTTTTATGTTTTATAATGGTATGCGCTTTAAATAGTGCATCTTTTTCAGTTGCCTCTGGAGATATTCATTTGTCAACCATGCTTCTCATTATTGAATACTGAGGCTGGTGAACATGAGAGACTACTGGAGCATAACATGGTTTGCTTTGGTTGTGGAAAATCGGTTCGAAAAATAAGACACCATTATGTCAGTATGGACTCTCCATTGCTGACTGGCCTAATATCACAAAATACTATTAATGTGGTAAGCATTTTGTTTTTAATTCATTATTTTATATATCTACTTGTATTTATTTATAAAAATCTATAAAAAATAGCACTCATAGTATGAATGTGTGATTATAATATCTATCTTTATGTATTTTTCATGTTTGGATAGACTTCTTTCTTTCTTTTCTTCTCATTTTACAATAACATAAAACTTGAAAACATGTGTTTATTCTAACTAGGGTTTATTTTCAGCCCTCAAGAAACAACTATGTTTGTCATGTGTGCTGGATGCGGGCAAATAGACAGGCAGTGCAGGACTTATCACGAAACTTGCAGGTATTGGGTTCGGACAATGTGCAAGAATCAGTTTCAGACAACGTGCAGGAGTTGGCTTCTGATAACAATGCAGCAGCCCCTTATGTTCAAGTAGTTAGCCCACCAGAGCCACCACCATTACCGCCTGTTTTAACCGGGCCGTTTCAAAGGGAAAGTACTACCATATTATTACCCAATTATACAGAATATATATTACAGAAACGTACAATCCGATAATCAGAAACGTAAAATAAAAATAGAAAAATGAATTATTACGTAGTTTTATTTTATTTATTTTCCTTAATAAATAAATCATTACTATTTATACCAATTCATTTGTTTTATTTTATAAATAAGTAAATAATTAATACGCCTTATGGTTTTTTAATGGCATATCCTATTTTATGGTTTATTGTCAGTAATCTGACAAAAGGTTCAGTGAAATTATTATCGTCTAGTGTGTTTTAATGACAAATTCTTCATGTGTTTTATTTATTGCAATTTAATATAACAATATTCACGAATGTAAAACCCCAAAAATCATTGATGAACCTTGAATTCAATAACTGTGCCAACGCCCATACAGAAACGAACATTCCATATACACAAACATAATAAAATACACTGTAAAATAAAAATATAAAAGTGAATTATTATTTTATTTATTCTCCTTAATAAATAAATCATTATTATTTATACCTATTCTTTTATTTTATAGGTTTTTAAAAGAAAATCTTATTTCGTGCACTTACGTGCCAGTAATCTGACTAAAGGTTTAGTGAAATTATTTTCGTCTTGTGTGTTGTAATTACGAGTTCTTCATGTGTTTTATTTATTGCAATTTAATTTAGTAATATTCACGAATGTAAACACCAAAAATCATTGATGTACATTTAATTCAATAACTATGCAAACGCCCATACAAAAGTTGGCCATGTCCTTTTATCTCTACATCTACATAATATTAGTACAGATAGTATAGATTTAGGATTCTCACCAAAAAGATTTTGGAATTTATTATTTCGTACTAATTTAAACTTAGTTGGTAAAAATCCAGCGTGTTATATTTATTGTACCCCGCCAAGAATAACATTCCTTACAGGTAGGCAAAATGAAAACAAAAAACGTTAAACTTGTCGTAAGTATTTTAATATTCAGCTGGGGTAGCGGGGTAAGTGCAATAAGGCACTGCGACCTCGGCACAGAGTTGGAAGGAACTGGGGTTTTAGTCAGTAGGTAAGAGTCTACCTCTGGCCTTAGCCTGAGCTAGAGAAGTTACTAGATGATTTTTGCATCACAAAAAAGTATTTAAATGTTTATATACTTATAGGTATATCAAAAATTTGCTTACTAAAATATGCCTTTATGTGATTTAGATTGCCACAGAGAAAAACAAATAGATAATCTAGGTACCAACTTAAGACATCTAAATCATAATAATAATATGTAAAATTCAACAGAGACATTATTATTGTCAACACTACTTTTATAATAAGTGTTTATTATTCAATTAATTAAGCAAATAAGCGTCGTAGGTGTTAAAACACGATAGCGGGTGCAAAACAATTAATTAACATTGTATGAGCCAGTGTCCCTCGGCGTCAAAGCCATATGCATCGCTTTTACGATCACTAACAAGTAAAATGTCACATACATTAAATATTGTTGATTAATCAAATAAGATTATGAATAAAAAAGTTTTAAATTTTCATTTTTTACACTGGCCACATATTAAGATTTTTCTGTTGTTCTAGGGGCGTTTACAATCATACATCATTATTATGTATTTATTATTATTTATATACGTATGTCCTTCCATTCGTCGTTATGTAACTATAGATATCATTGCCTTGTCAAGTGTGGGAGAACCAAGCTTTGACAGTATAGGTCGGCTCGACCGAAGGGATATCAAGTCCTCACAGAAAACTGGCGTGAAACAACCGCAGCATTGTGTTTTGCCGCTTAACAGGCCCAATTCTTATAATATTAACGTTTTTAAATGATATTTATGTATCTTTTATAATGATAGTACTGAATGTTTCTAGTTAATATATATTTAAAAGTATACTTGGTTGCTTTTTTTCAGCAGTAGTATTTTTCTAACCTGGATAAGGTTCTCTGGATGACAATACTAAACGTTTCTTATACATAGTTTCCACACGCAGACTGGAACTGTGCCAGTTAAAAGCACAGGCTCGCACGTACAAAACTTTACTATGTGTTGTCTTTGTCAACACCTTATTATTTATGAAACAACTTTATAAATTGGGTCTACAAATACATTTCAAGTTGTTTTTTGTAGACATGACTAAAATGTTGAACAAATATGGTCAAGCTAAATTAGTTGCATTGTCATTCTGAAAACATTGTGAAGGGATGAGAGAACAGGGTGTAAAGCTCAAGCCAAAATCATTCATTCCAGCTAAACCATAATTAGGTGCTTTTAAAACGTCAACCGTTCCTAATCCTACACATCTGCAACTCTTATTTAAAGTAGTGATCCTCAATGACAGGAAAATATAGGTCATAATTTGATTGGTCAGCAAACGAGCAGACGTATGATGATTCTGATGGTAAGCACGGCGCCACGCATGGACACCGACAATACCGAAGGAGTTACAAGCATTTTGCCTCAAATGACTTGAAAATAAACTTAGCGAAACATAAAAGAAATGTGGTTTCAAGTCGGTATTCTTCGAGGCTATTTCGGTCCGAGCTGGTCTATTCGTGCCGAAACAGGTCTATCCTACATCTCTATCGATCGAAGTTTTTTTTATGTAATTGGTCGGCAAACGAGCAGACGGTTTACCTGATGGTAAGCAATCAGCGCCGCCTATGGACACCCGCAACGGAGGAGTTACGAGTGCGTTGCCGACCTTTTAGGGATTAGGGATTTGGAGATTTAGGGATTGAGGAGAGATTGGGGGCGGGGAAGGATTGGGCCTCCGGTAACCTGACTCACACGGCGAAACACAACGCTGTGGTTGTTTCACGCTGGTTTTCTGTGAGGCCGTGGTATCACTCCGGTCGACCCGACCCATTCGTGCCGAAGCATGGCTCTCCCACACTCAAACTTGTCACAGTTGAGATAAAACCAAAAATATTATCAAACAACTCTTTATGTGATCCACAAATTTTTGTTCTGGGTCTCGGTGTTATGTGTAGGTTTGTGAAATTGTATGTTTGTAAACGCAAACACGACATAGGTGAAAAAAAAAACTTTAAGATCACTATACCACAACGCGATACTACGCCAAGACAAATGTCTATCACAAAAATATTACGAACAAACCGCTCAGATGTCATAACAAGCTACACAAATAATCGCTTCTTTGAGATGATGGATTAATGATCTAATTAACTAGACTATCGTAATCAGTATACGATTGATGACGCAGCCCATCCTTCTAGCCCTAGAAAAGGGCCAAAAGGGAGAAAGCTCCCTTTTGGCCCTTTTCCAACTGGGTTAGGGTCGACTTTGAGCCTGACCAGATTTTAGCATATGCTGGTATAGCCAGCCAGATTGTTTGAAGTACCCATGTAAGTAATAGATGTAGGAACTACCCAAACTAAACTCGTTAAAGAAGTTATGGGTTTAAAACTATTTCTTCAAAGTTCTAGTTTTTTTTTTTTGTTGTTATATAATACGAAGAAAACGAGCAGACGAATCCCTCGATTGTAAGTGATCAACGCCGCCCATGGAAACCCGCTAAACCAGAAGAGCTACTAGTCCAATAGACACAAACGTGAAATTAATAAAATTAACGCTTGTCATCCCGAAGATAACAGATAAGACTAGTGTTCTTGTATAATTATATAAGTGAATTAAGGATATCCTGACGACAAAAACCATACATCACGAGGCTCCGCGCGCGCCTCATAGAGCCAATACACCAACACAGACGCTGCGGGGCTGGCGCAATATGGTAACGTGGCGTCGGCCTAGAGCAGGAGAAGGAAGAGGTTTTTAGTCAGTAAGAGTCTGACCTCTCATCTCACCCTGCGCGAGATAAGTCATTTCATGATTTTCCCCTCACAAAAACAAAAAGTACTTGGCACGATCTTCAAAGACTAACAAGTCTATAACTTGATCACTAATTTTATTATACAAGCAAAGAAGTTGAAAATGAATTTATTAAATGTACCTTCACATAAACCAAGCCTGGCTACCGGATCTTAATCTATTTATCGGTTATTCTCCAGTACCTATGAGCTATGTGTTCTTACCGACCTCGTCTTCCAATTTCATAATGTTTATCCACTTGTTGCTTAAGTCAGCAGATCGTAAATAAAGTGCAAATAATGTAAACAAGAACATAACAAACCCGCAACGCTGTAATCTTGGCGTATAAATCACAATAAATATGTTTAGTATCGCGTTCCAGATAATAGATGGCACCACTGGCGACGATTTTAAGTTTTATAAAAATTGTGACGTTTTTATTGGTGGTTGTGTAGCGATAAATAATGTGTGGAACAGGAAGGGAATACGTTATTCGCGTTAACAAATATTTTCGAAATTACTTCAATGAGACGACGTGGAATAAGAATCTGAAACTTCCTCTTGTCTCAGTAAGGTTTTGAGAAATAAATTGATTATTTTCACAACCCCTAATTTCAAAAAGGGTTTGAGGAACGAGGAGGTTTTTAGTCTGACAATCCCTACACTTTGACCCTGCGCGAGTGAAGTAGTGATGTGATGATTTTCCCCTCACAAAAAAAAAACATCAACTACGCGTTCACATTTTTATATGCAAATTATAAGTCTGTATTCTATCACTGGCTGGCAGGTATTAAATAGTTTACAAATAAATAAATATTATTACTAAACACAATTCAAAAATCGAATTTTCACTCGACGCAAATACTTGTAACCACAAAGTTCACCACACATAAGTAAAACTTTAATATAATAATCGTAAAAGTTAAGTAACATTTTAGTCGCCACTCTATTTTTAGTACCTAGATAGCTAATAAAATGTCACTTGGCATAGTCGGTTCGTGTTACGACACTAACTTTGAATGTGTATCTTTACACTGCACATACCGTAAAAGTTAACTTAAAGCCTTTAAGGGCCTTGTACTTAATAAATAAATAAACTATGAATAACAACCGTGAAACAAAAACTTTTTACTAATTAATTTGTTTTTTTCTTTATTTCTTTTTTTTAATGTTGCCTCACTCTAGCATTCTCTTGTATCGAAGGTGCGTTTACAAACAGATAAATCACCCAGACCCGAAACCACAATTTGTGGATCACACAAAGTGTTGTTTCGTACGAGAACCGACTCGCGACACGTTGCACAGCAGCCAGTTCCCCAGCCACTGCGCCAACCGTGCAGTCTTTAATATGGTATTCTTAGAAGATTAAGATCTATTATGAGTAATTAATAAATTTTCATGATCATCAGAATTGTTAGCTGGATAAAACATCCACTAAATTAAAAATGCCACCTCTTTAGTACGCCTTTCAAATCTAATGATAGCTCATCAATGACATCCAAAGTCACCCTGCGACTCTGACCATATCAGCAGGCCTTACCAGACTTACCCAACTTTCAATAGAATATTTTTTGGAAGTTTTAATAAAACTATGAATCGAAACGCTAATTCACACTCACAGAAATTAGGTACATAATCATGTACAAATAAGGTACTATTTTCTTGTTACAACAAAATGTTAGCTACAAAAAAAATAAAAAGTAAACGTTTGCCAAACAAATTATTTCTGAAGACGCACCGTGGTCTTTGTGCGTGTGTTATATGGGCGAATTTCGCGTGAACAACATGTTCAATAATGTATAATGGCAGCCGAGGCAGGCGAAAACCCGTATTTATCTTGTACCTACAAACGTTTTACGAATAAACTACTTTTACGACATACTTTGCGTATTTTAAATGCAAAGTTGAACGCCTCGGTTTTACGTATATAGGTAATTTTTATACGTACTTTCGGAAAACAGTGGTTCACCTAGTGAAAACATGCCATAGAATGGGCTTAATGTATTTGGACATTTACTTCTTAGATTTTTCGTAAAACATGTGTAAATTAGGTCTAGTACAGCGCTAAACACGATTCACTGAACAGTGGGCGTATTACGATCTCTTAATTCCAGTCAATTTACACCTTAAAATGAACTGCCTTGTTTATCCGTATTATGACGTCTTATTGCAGTCAGTTAGCAGTCACGTGACACTTGACCGATTTCTGCACGTATATTGGCTGGCAAACCCGTATTATGACCGCCAAACTGAAATTTCTTAGCTTGCTCAAATGTCAAAATTTGTGTCAAACAAACCAGTCAGTTTACGCCGGTGTCGAGTAGCTTTTACTGAATTGTTTTAAGTTTTTATCACATACTGTTTACTATAACATTAAATATGTGTGATGAGTTAATAATCTTCGAGTTTCTTGAAAGTGATGCGTCACAAGATAACCACCAAACAAAAATTCAGAGGACGCGTCTTCGAGATCTTAGTGACCCTTTTGCGATTGAAGATGTTGAATTTATTTTATTATAAATAATGTAGGTAATACTTACGCCAATATTGAGTAGACAATATTTATAAACAACTTTAAACAGGGATCCTGTAAACGGATTCCTTTGCTCAACAAAGAAAAGCAGTTTTAGTTCTCCTTCTTTTTAAAAAAAATAAATGGTCTTCATTAGTTATAAACCCTTATTATAACAAAAAACTTTTATTTTTGCCGGGTGAGCTGTTATCACCTATCCTACCTCCTATTACTTACGTTCAGAAATGTAGCGTATGTCTAAAATGTATGTTGTGAGACAGTGCTGTATTTTCATATTTATGACATTGTACTTACGCATATAATACATAATTCGTTTTTGAACTCATTTTTAATCTCGATTCTGTTAGAAAATTTAATTATATAATATATTACATTCAATTTTCAAAAACCGTAATATACCAGTAACCCTTTTAAGATGTTTTCGAACGCAATCTTTCTAGAGGGTGCAAACCAACCACAGACAATCATCCAGGATGAATCCAGTCAGAAAAACGTACGTCATAATACGAAAAAGAACCACGCAGTTTACGGCCTTAAACTGACCAGCCAGGAAACAAACTGGATTTTAAAAAGGTTGTAATACGCCCCCAGAGAGGCTCAAGGTGACAATGCACTTGTTTTGTTTTTAAATTCTTATCGAATGTTTCTATATGCATTAATTATTATTTTATTAATGCTTTTGGGAGAGCAAAAAACTATTGATTTTTAATAGAATAGTTTTACTAATTGATTGAAATGTCACTACAAAAGCCCCCATGTCACAAATATTTTTTATGTCACTTTTATCTTGGTCAATTTATAGTCGGATTGAAAACTGAATTGAGGGTCAATGCATGCCAGTCCGTTGCTACCGAGCTTCTTCTTAGCATTGATTTTAGATCAGTACTCGTACCACACGGTTTTCATTAAGAGTTCTAGAGTGAGATCAGTGAAAAAGTAGTAGTAAAATTACTGACAGAATTTCATACTAGTTTTGTAATCTATAAGAGAAAAGTTGGATGGAAAATATTGTTATCCTTCAGGTTATGTAAGACCGGTGAACTTTTAGTCATTGCCATGAATCCAGGACCACAAAAAAACATTACATAGCCATTTTTAATTGAAAGGTAGTGGCTGGGCTGTTGAGCGACGTGTCGCGGGATCGATGCCCCAAGGGAACACCACGTTGTGTGATCCACTAATTGTTATTTCGGGTCTAGATAGTTTTTGCATTCGAACTTGTCTGCTTGTAAACGCACCCACGACACAGGAGAAATCCTACTTGAAAATTCTTAAAGACATTACTCGAAGAAGTGACAAACTCGCAATTAAGGAAGAATAAATAAACACTGGCGATAAGATGGAGCCATTTTTATACACGACGCCTATCCATACCCTGGGGTAATCTCAGTAAGAAGAATATATTGCATATTAATGTTGACTTACCGCTAGTCCCCGTTTCCGAGGTGTAGTAGAGAAGTTGTGAGTAATAACTTGCACTGAAGGCATAGCGCCGTCAGGGGTTGACAGGATTGCAGGTCCTCGGCACGGGCGCTGCTGAGCCGGGCGAGCGGCTCCACCTCCTAGCAGCCACATGGTTGATTTAACATTAGACTCTGGAACAAACAAAACTTTCATTAGTCCGTGGATTATGCAATAATTCAAAAACAATTCGAAATCTGAATTGATGATGATAATGCATAGTCGTAGATAAATATTAAGACGGTAGACAACAAATTTTTGGGATTTGTGGGCATGTCAGACCATTTTTTTTAAGACGATTTAGTTTCTTGCATTTGTTCTGCATTCAAATCTAAATTTAGAACGAGCACATAGCCTCGTCGACGAACAGACTGATAGACTATCATACTATTTTGATGTTTCAAAAGTATCTATTTATGGTTAAGTTATAATCAATGATTACGACTTTAATTTGCATAAATTACTCTAAGATTAGAACTTAATAGTTACTTCCCGTTGACAACAAACTTTTATGAAACATTTTATTGATTTCAGTAAGTTTTTTTATTTATTTACTTAAGGGTGAATGAGATAGATTCAAAGAATAGTGACTCAATTTATAATAAGGCACTCTAGAAATTAGTATGTTGTATAGTTAGCTACCTACAGAATCTATGAAATACGAAACGTGGGTGATGACACAGCATAATTAGTGGTAGTGCCTATAATAAACGTTTACTCTGATTACCAGTGCAAAAAGAAGCCAACGCATAAACACCTTTATATAATGTAATCGGGGCATTTCATATAAAATGATGTCCATCAGCAGACTATGAAATAAAAAGTTTCCAGATATCAGAAATTAAGATATACGACACCAACTTTTTGGTCGAAAACGGGCACATCGCCAAATTCGGTGAGTAACTAAAAAATATTTTCGCTAAAAGTATCATCGTAATTTATTTTAGTTGCTTTATATCTGTAATAACAGCAGATAGTATTTATGTGTAACTTTTACCAATACTAATAACCGTTTTGTTTTTGTTCCATAGAGAGGGGGTGAAGGACATAGAACTGTCTGTTTGTTGTATAAACTAATAAAAATCGTGAAAAACTTCATACTGTTTTGACACTAGCTTGAATACTCACATTTTTTATGTAACAGGAAAGATAGTGACAATGTTGACAATGTCACTTACTATAATAGTAAGTATCATACGATTCGAACATTCAATATTCTTTGGATGAAAAAAAAAATACATAACGACATTATTTACATTCAACATCGAGCAATATCAATGTAATATGATTGAAAGACTTGGATCTTGGATACTTGACTTTATTTATACAGTACACAGTCCTGCAGCTCACTGCACCAGAGTTACATTGTCAATGGCCGACACTTGCTCGGCCACCCTCTTTATAGTGATATGACGACATAGACAATAATAGTGCAACACTGATTAGTAATACTAATCATAGACAATACAACATCCCCCTTGTTAAGTTTAAATTAACCCTTTACAAAACAGACTTATCACTATGACAACTTGACAATATTATAAACGACTTATAGTATAACTCGACTAGGTACTTAATTTACAACATATAAGATTACAAAATATACTTAATCTATTTCTTCTATTAGCCTTCTTGTGGGCTTTACAATACGACCTGAACGTGTAACAAATTGACTACTTGAGGATCGAGATGAGAGTTCTTGAGGTCCAGCCTTCTGACTGTCACCATCCTCTCTCCCTTGCGATGACAAAGACGACGACGACGATGAGTTGGATAGCATAGGAGAGAACTTATGCCTTAAGTGAATCCTATTTCTCCTATACCTAACTCCATTGACATCCTCAACGACATATGACCTATTATTTGCTAGCCTTTGCTTGACAATAGCCTGTTCCCAATTACAACTAGGTTGTCTTTTGAAGTAGACATGATCATTGGGATATAACAATGGTAAAGGCTTAGCACTTCTATTATAATATTTAGACTTACAATCATTATTCTTAGTTACACATTCTTTGTAATCTTTAAATGTTACTACCTTTGGTTTTAATTTCTTATACGACTTAGGGACATTGTCTCTTAAATTCCTAGACATTAAGAGTTGAGCTGGGGACGGTAAATTATTCTTAGGTGTGTTTCTATATTGCAACAAAGCTATATAAGGATCAGACGAATTTTCTTTGCATTTTTTCAGCATATTTTTGACAATTTTAACTGAACTTTCAGCTTGACCATTAGACTGTGCATGATATGGACTAGTAACAACATGTTCTATGTCCCATTCATGTAAGAAATTTTTAAATTCTAAAGATTGGAAAGGAGGTCCACCGTCAGACACTAATGACAAAGGTATACCATGACGGGCAAAAATCGACTTTAAATGTGTAATTACATTTTTGGCTGTACTATTCTTATTTAACAAAGCTATTTCTATGTATTTAGAATAGTAATCTGTAACAATTAAATAAGAAAGACCATCAAAGTACATTAAATCAATACCAACTTGTTGCCATGGATATTTGTTAATTTCAAAATTTTGTAATGGCTCTTTTTGGTTAGCAGGTTTAAATTTTGCACATATAAGACATTGTTCTACTAAATTTTTAATATCAACTGACATGTTTGGCCAATATAAAGAATCTCTAGCTAATTTAAGACATTTATTTATTCCTTGGTGACCTTCATGAATTTTATCCAACATTTCTTTATACATAGACTGTGGTACTATTAATTTTGATCCTTTAAATAACAAATCCTTAACTACATGTATTTCAGCTTGTACATTCCAATATGGTTTCACTAATTGACCAACTTTGTTTTTACTTTTTGGCCATCCTTCATAATAATATTTCTTTAACAATTGCAAACTTTCATCTTTATTAGTTTGTTGTGACAATTTTGTACTGTAATCCTTAGTAATTGCTAAATTTGAATGCATTAAATTGACATGACAGGTTATTTCAGACTCATTCTCTGGAATATAATGATCTTTTAAGGCTGCTCTCGACAAAGTATCAGATATGAACATTTGTTTACCTGGGACATGTATAACTTTCAAATCATACTTTTGCAAAGTTAACATCATTCGCTGTAACCTAGCTGGTACATCATGTAATGGTTTATCAAACAGGTAGACTAAAGGTTTGTGATCTGTGTGAACTGTAACTCTGTGACCATATACATACTGGTGAAATTTTTCACAACCAAATTGAATTGCAAGCAATTCTTTCTCTATTTGAGCATACCTTGACTGGGTTGTGGTTAAAGTTTTAGAACTATAAGCAATGGGTTTATTATTTTGTAAAATGACTGCTCCCAATGCTGATTTAGACGAATCTACTGACAAGACTAATGGAATGTTGGGGTTATAGTGAGCTAAGACAGGTGACTTTGTGATTTCATCTATTAAACCCTTAAGACATTTATTGTGATTCTCATCCCAAGACCAGACAGAAACTTTTTTCAAAAGATTTCTTAAAATTTGAGTTTTTTCTGACAAATTACTAATAAAGGGACCTAAATAATTGATCATACCTAATATTCTTTGTAATTCTTTGACATTTTTTGGTGTAGGCATATTGACAATTGCTTTAACTTTCTCTTGGTCAACCCTTGCACCATCTTTACTAAAGATATAACCTAGGAAACAGACTTCAGACACTAGAAATTTACATTTAGATTTGTTAAATTTTAAATTAACTTGACGTGCTCTTTGCATGACTTTATGTAATCTCTCATTTAGGTACAGACTCATTTGGGCCATAGACTAGAATGTCATCAATGAATATTAAGACTCCTTCCAAATCACCAAACAAATTCATCATAACTCTTTGAAATATTTCTGATGATGCATTTATTCCAAAAGGTAACCTTAAATATTTATATCTACCAAATGGTGTTTGAAAAGTACATAATTTAGAACTATATTCATCTAATTTTAACATCCAAAAACCCGAAAATGCATCTAAATGAGAAAAACAGACAGCTCCAACTAGTTGAGATCTTATCTCATCAATTGACTTAAGTGGATATATTTCCCTTATGATATTTTTATTTAAATTTCTAGGATCTAAACAAATTCGTAACTGACCTGAACTTTTTACAGTTATAACTATACTATTCACCCACTCTGTAGGCTTAGTGACTTTTTCTATGACTTTCATGCTCTCCATGCGATCCAACTCCTCGCGTAGCTTTCCAAGTAACGCAAATGGTACTCTCCTGGGAGGATCCACACATGGTACTGCATCAGGTTTGAGTTTCAGGTGACAGACAGGAGGTAGACAGCCAAGACCCTGGAAGACATCATTGTATTTTGTTAGAATTTGTTGACAAAAATTTTGTTTAGACACTGAAAAAACTCTTTTAATTATTCCTAACCTTTCACATGTAGGAAGACCTAAGACATTGGGACACTCTAAATTTGCGACTATGAACACTATGTTCTCACTGACATTGTTATTATTTAATATTAAATTGCATTTAATATTGACCTTTCCCATAATGGGTATTGATTTGCCACTAAATCCTGTGACATTTATATGACTTTTGACAATTGACAACTGTTTAAGCTTATGTTTTAAATAATTAAAAGTTTGCTTCGACATAATGTTTAAATCAGCTCCTGAATCTATGATGCAATTAAATTTTAAATTACCTACTTTTAAATTAATATTCCAGGACTGTTTACTTTTGTTAATGTTAGGTTCTGATTGAACTGTATTAATGTTGTTCAATGACTGATGACTTTGATGTGGTGGTGTGAGCGTGTGAGGTGATTCCTCAGACATGTGTCTGTACTCATCATTGAGATACACACTTTGACTATCACAACATTTGTTTATATTGTGACCATATGACATGAGAATAGATTTCTCAGACAGGTGACTGTTTTCATCACCGAGGTTCTTTTTAGACCTCTTAGACATGACATTATCACCACTATCATCACAGAAATTTGACATGAGAATGATTTTCTCAGATTGACAATATGAGTATCGGTGAGATCTCTCAGACATGACATAAGTTTCATCATCGGAATCATTCCTCAACTGTAATTGATCTTTATGAGACCATTCCGATGGTGGTTGACAATGTAATTGTGGTGGTGATGGTGATTGACAATGTAACTGTG